TGCAAGGACTCGTCCAAGCAGTCACTGCAAGGTCAGCAATGACTGAGCTCAGACCAAAAAAAAAAAAATCCTTCCACACTCATACATGTGAAACCAAAATTGGGTCCTGAGATATCAATTAGAGCAATTCAAATGAAAAACTGCGAAGGCCAGAGAAGTTTGCAGAAATACAGGTGCATGCATTAAGGAGTTAAGTATTGGTTTATTTTCTAATATTCCATATTTCATAAAGGAGCTCAAAGCAGCATACACAGTGGTCCCACTTCCTACTTTTTGCCCAAAGTGCCTGTGAGGTAGGTTGGGCTGAGAGAATGATGGGCCCAAAGTATCCAGTGGTTTCTATGGCTTCTATGAAGGTGGACCTAAACCTGGGTCTCCCCGGTGCAGTCCAGTTAACAATTATCGTGAGGGCAGGGGAGTCACCAGGCGGTCAAAAAAGTCAAGATGGTAGTCAAAACCATGTGACCAAAGTCCATATTGCATCATAGTGCAAATAAAAATGATACAGAGCTTCAGTTGCAGTCACAGCCCCCATTTGTCCCCACACTGATGCCCATATGTGAGGACAACCATCATAATCATTACAGTTTATTTCAGTATTGTAATTTTAATCTGTTTCTTTATGCACAGTCTACAGGGATATGGGTAGCTATCCCTTTAATATGATTTTCACTTTATTGATATCTACAATGGATACTGTTGCCAGCATTAGTGTACCTGTAGCATTTTATACCGCTATAAAATGATTGAGTGTAAATGAATTTCACTGCTTTGAAAGTTTCTCATAAAAGCGTAGCATAAAATAACTAAAGACACGTTTACCTTTTCTAAGTTCAACAGCTAGTTACCCATGTGGGCAATTTCATTTAAGTGTCATTTGGTTTGTCAGTGAGTGCCATAAACATTTTGTAATTATTCAACAAGTATGCATTAATAACTCACAGATAAATGAGGCGATATGATAGAGGCACTTAAAATTTCACACTAGAAATACTGCAGTTTTAATGAATCGTGTAGCAAATAGAATTCTAATTTTCACATTTCAGCAATAGTAAAGCATTTAATGTGAAACATGGAGTTGACAATTGCTGTTTTCTCTGCTAGGGTTTATCGCACCCTCCTTCAAGAAGGAGTTTTGGCTGGAATAGCCACTTCTTCTACTGCTTTGGAAATCATTAACCAGACATTATTCTGCTCTTTTTCAAAAGAAGCCTTTCACATTAGTTTCATACGGTCTGGATAACAAAAGGGACTACAGATCTTAAAAAAATAAAAGCCCAAAGAATGCCTACAGTCAAATATATGTATCTCATTAAGGGCTTACTGACTTTCAAAAAGTCTGACACTCCAAAGGCCATAATCCACAAATCACTCATTCCTGGGAAATTCCAGTGAACTTAATGCCATACTACGAAGACGGAGGGTTCCAGTCCAAGGCTACACTACTAATCCCACTGACGCTCAATACTTAGAAATCACAGCATCCATGTAGGAAATAGCATATGAACCTTGCATGGACCCTCTGCTCCAGCTTCCAAACACTGTTCCTCAGACTATCACAAGGATGGGAACAGAGTGTGCTTTCTGAGAAAGGCAAAAGGAGCCCTTTTTCTCAAAAAAGGAAATGCACAGAATTTCATCAAAAGCATTGGGCTTTGGCTCTAAGCAAACTGATTTAGTCCTGAACTTACAGACGTTTGCTTCCATCTGAAACTCCTTTCTCAAAGATTTCCGCCTGCAGGGGGGGTTCATCTAAAGAACTGAAGCCCCTCTGACCTTATCTTATAGCTCGCTGAGCATTTACTGCTGAATCCTAGCAGCTCAATGAACCAGCAAATAAATGGATTAAAAGGGACTGGATTAAAAGGAGCTGGCCGTCTCCTGTGTCGCAAACTTTGACTTTACGCTGGCCCTGCAAGAAAAAACATGAGCAAATGAGGAGATAAGGAAAATATCTTGGGTAATTGCTTACGGCCCAGCAGCCAGAGGGCAAATGGAAAGGGCAGAAGGTCCCAACATGTCCCTTCGCTTGGGAACAGTGTTTCAGTTTATATTACCAGTGATACGTAAGGGTTGATTTGATCTGCCCCACACTGGTGTCCTCCACATGCGTTGGACTGCAACTCCCAGAATTCCCAACTGCGTGGGGTTCTAGGAACAGGGCATGGAGGATAATAAGCTGGGAAGGGCCATTTTAAAGAGACAGTTTGGTGCAGTGGTGAAGGTCTCAGGCTAGAAAGTGGGAGACCCTGAGTTCTAGCTCCGCCTTAGGCACAAAGCCGGCTGGGTGACTTGGGCCAGTCCCTCTCTCTCAGCCCTAGGAAGCCGGCCAGGCAAACCACTTCCAAAAAACCTTGCCAAGAAAACTGCAGGGACTTGTCCAGGCAGTTGCCTGAAGTAAAAAAAAATTGACTTGAAGGCAAACACATACACAAAAAGGGCCCATAGAAAATCTATAAAGTTGCTTTCCATTCTGCCAAACTTCTAGAATTCTGCAGATGATTTCCTTACTAGTGAAATTCACAGGCGTTAAGGTACAGTATATAACAATGGCCACAGCAGGAAGAAAACATCAGGAATTGCAAAAAAAAAAAAAGAAAGAAACACCCTGTGGAGGCAACCACAAACTTATGCAACGCAGTGTATGGAAAGTGTGCAGAAAACAAATGCAAAAGACTTTCCGTGATCCTGCGTGACTTTGCAGCTCTGGGGAGCATCAAGAGCTCAGCCAAGTGGTGCTGAGGGATAAGGTGAGCGCAGCACTAAGAAAATTACGAAGAATTCCTTGCTGGCCTGGTCCAAGGCAGAAATGCCCCACTGGACTACAGTACTTCTCCAGAAAAATGGAGAATGATTGGTGACTATGACTGTTTCTCTTGAGATTTGAAGTTAATCGTTCCTTGTTGAATATTCCCATTTGGAATTGCAGTTATTGTTAGAATTACAGGCCAATACATGCATTCTTACTCAGAAGTGTCACTGTTTATGAGTTTGCTAATCTGAAATAAGCATATAGAGCAATCTATAGTTTTCCTGGGTGGCCCCCCATAATGTTGGCTGGAAATCACGGGGTTGCCCACCAGGTTACAGAAGGCTAATGCACTGGACTCCAGCCCCAGACTGCAGACCCAGACAAACAGCAAAGGAGTCTTGTGACAGCAAGGTTCAAGAAGAGGATTTGCTGCAACAAATTAAGCAAGCCCAGTGAGAGGGGATGCATCCATTAGCCAGGACAAGTAGAAACACAACCTGCACGTCCCTCAGTGCAATTTGATAGCCTGCTGTA